GTCATATTTGGAGGCAAGATTCGCAATCTTCGAGATTACTCTGACAGGACCCAAATACATGGTTAGGAATTTCAGATTTTACGGAAAAAATTAATATGTTTTCTGAAAACTTTTTGAAAAAATCACAAAAAACGTCATATCTCGAAAACTACAAGGATTTGAACAGTCATATTTGGAGGCAAGATTTGTAATTTCTCAGAGTACTCTGACAGCACCCAACTACAGGGCTGGGAACTTCAAGTTTGGTAAATTATTTTTTTGAAGAAATCTCAAAAATCGTCTTATCTCGTTAACTAAAAAGATTCGGGCATTCAAAATTGGAGGCCAAATTCGCAACCCCTAATTCGATATTGGACTGCTTAATTTAAACTCGGTAAAATAACCACTAACATCAAATAAGAAAATCGAAAAAAAATTCTTAACCATTGCAATATACGATATAGCTTAAACATGCAAAAATAATCCGTTGAAAAAGCTTAAACATGGCGAGATAGTGAAGCCCGCATTTAAATATATAATTGATTTAAAAAATGTTTCTAGTGGTAAAATTTCAATTTGAGGCTAATATCAGGAATTTTTCCTTCTGAGCTAATATTAGAAGATACCTGTTTTGAAGATACCGGTATTAAAATTTTGCATCATAAATGATCTAAGCCAGCTTCGTTTTTGTACGGGGTTTCGGAAATTAGAGCAGCAAATTAGACGATCAGAGACTAACGGAATTTAGACATTAGTCTACGTGCAAGTTACGGGAAAATTGTGTACGTGCAAGTTACGGGAAAATTGTGTACATATTAATAAACTTTTGGTTGAGCAATAATTGGTTGTCAAACCGCATAGGCTCCCTTTGGAACAGTTCTTAACTAGACTTTCATTTTATTCTATGACATTATGCGAACAAAGTGCGAGTTGTGAGCGGGATCCGCAACAAGGACGCTCTCTTTGTTTTTTTTACTGAAAACGGAATGTTTACGCTTGCTGTGGTTCTTTTATTCAGTCAATTTTCGGCGATTATTAGTTTTCAAAAGGGAAAAATTATACCCATTGAAGATATCATCTCCCTGAAATCAAATGTAAAAGTTTGTTTGACTTCCGATCATTTTTTGCAACTTCCGAACTTGACTATGAGTTTGAGTTTCAAAATTGCCCATTTGACCATGATCTGGAAAAATTTATGCGCTCGTTGAGGATTTTACTCATAATACTGAAAGCGTAACGCAATTTATTCATGCACAAAAAAAGTTTGAAGTTGAATTGTGGTAAGCTGATCTGTCGTAATAATTTCGTGCAACTGAAATATTCAAAATTGATCTTTGATATTGTCCAAAATTTATAGTTTTCAAAATTTTCTTTTCCCATAATCTTTTCGGTATGGGTTAATGGGCAGTCGAAACATTCAGGAGTTTGCCTTGATTTACGAGCAGTCTTGTTTTTTCTTTCATTTTCTTTGATCGTTCCGACAAAATTTTAAAATGTTTAAAGACAACAGCGAACAACTTTAATTTTTTGTTCCATCAGTGTTGCAAGCTTCTTCAGAGCAAATTGAATACGGCTCGTTTGTTCTTGAATATGGCACGCGTCTTCTGATAGTATATTTGTTCCGACTTTCGATACGAAAGTAACGGAATATTTGTGCTCGGGGTGGAATTTTTTTCTTCAGACAAATTTCTACTTTTTAACTAGCCATTTTTGACGGAATTTTTTTATATATTCGAAAGATATTGTTGCCCTGAGCTCAAATTTGAAAAGATATTTCACCTGTGATCATTTTTCGTAAAGTTATGGGGGTTTAAAGATTGGCATTTTGGCCAATTTGGGACAATTAACGCGCGATATATTTCGCGCTATTAACGCGTAAGAGGAGAGTTAATCCGTCTTTGAAATTGTTCCAAATTGGTTGAAAGAAGCTTATTTGCCATAATTGATTTGTAACAAGGAACGAAATCTATCCTTTTGTACTTTATATGGCATGTGGGTGGATGATTTTCATAAAAAAACTTAATTTTAGAAAAAAAAAAATTTCATTTTTTTACATTCAACTTTTTAATGTTATTACTGCTCCATAAACCTTAAAAGGCAGTCGGAACTCTCAGGGCTTCGCGCTGACACGAGTAGTCTTGTTTGACTTTGAAAACTGCTTTGTTTCAGCTTTTACTTAAGTCTTTGAACAATTTCAAAAACGAAATAGATGACTCTACTCTCAAAGACGTTCATAAATTTTTCCTAAGCTTCCCTTTGAAAACAAAAAAAAGAATTTGATGATATTAATTCTAATAAAATTTGAAACGATTTTTTTTCATCTGAGAATTAAATTAAAACAAAAAGGGTACAAGTGGAGGCTAAAAACTTTTGACCAATTGCTGCTAGTGAAAGTCTTATAACTTCTGCTCAAAATTGAGTTAAATCCTGATTACTTAACTTTTGGACATCATGACTGAAATTCATGAGTTAGTTAATACAAATTTTTGGAGCCCAAACTCTAAGCGAAGTCCTGAAACTACTTTAAACATTTGAAGGGCATAGTGTTGTGTACAGAAAACAAGTTCAAGTAAAAGTCGGTCGACGAAGACTTTATCTTATTACATGTGTTTGTGTTTTAGGCGACTTCAATCCGATTCTTGTTGCTTGAAACTTAACACAACCAAGGTTTAAATTCAGAAACTTATCGTTTTTTTTTCAGAGGTATCTTATTCGAAAACTTAAGTTGTTTACACACTAAAACTTCAGTCGTGTACACAGGCAAAGTTGCGCATGGGAAACACCAGGAAAACAATGGCAAAAAACTTTCAACTGTCAAGAAAGCACCAACAAAATAAACTATTCAAAAAATGGTTTTATCCGCGTGTGAGATTCAAACCCCCCCAGCCTTCTTAACCTCTCCTACGTTCATATTTTTGAATTAACAGCCACTAATAAAGATAAAAACAAACTCAGATAAAAACATTTAAAATATCATTTTTCGTTTTTGGGAGGGGTACAAAAATGGCAAAAGATAGCTTTGAACTTGTAAGAAAAGGCTAAAATAAGTTTAAAAAAGTGTAAAAGAAAGTCACAACGTTCTGAAAACAAAGTCACGACGTAATGATCTTTTTCAGGAAAGTCTCAATTTTGTTCACGATCAAGGTTTTTGGGGTTACATTCAGTTCATTTCCTTTGTACGAAGGAAGGCGAACTCCACTACCGAAGTGTCACAAAAAACGTGGAAAAAAGGACTTCTAATTTCAAAAATGAACATTAAGTTGCTAACTCCCAAAGGAAGAGAAAGAATGATTCAGTTTTCTCTAAATGGGAAGTTCTAAGAAAAAAGTCAATCGTAAGCAATTGTTGAACTTCGAAGAGTTTCAACGTAATATATTTTTTCAAAAGTTGAAAAGAATCAAATACTTTAGCTCAAAATTTTTGTCGGTGTCTGAGTTTTTTTTACACTTCAAATAAGCTGTTCGCTATTCCGACCTACATATTTAGAGTCAAATATTTTGACAATTCGCCATCTACCCTTGCTGACTTCAAAAAATAGCAACCAGTAAATCGGATAAACATATGCGGATAAAATACAGGAGCATTACACAGCTACTAAGATACAGCAATTTTCCTGCAAGCTGGGTTGGAAAAATTGAACTCGTTATAAAACGAAAGCGTTTGCTTTTGTCAGTAAGGTTACAATATCTCAAATAATGAAACCGATACCTTGCATAACTTTGAGATGCCCCACTAGACCCCAGTCGAAAATCAGATCCTAAAAACTGAGTTCGAATAACCAAAACTCAAAGAAAAAAGATCTCACCTTACAGCTTACTATATTTCCAGAATCTTTTATTGGACTTTTTTTACTCTTAACGCAATTTGACAAATCTGGATCAACAAAGTTTATTTTTCCGCTGGGAAAGCTGAAAATTATCATTGATTTATTACTTTTATTACTTAAGACCGAATGTTTTTTGTTGCAAATGAATCAAGCGTCAAACTGTGAAAAACTTAATTTGAGCGTACCAACCTTTTTCTAAACTGATTGAAAAAAGAGCACTTTTAATGTTTTCACTGTGTTCATTGACGCTTTAAGATTTTGGTTGATATTAAAACCTAACCAATAACTTATTTTCCACTCACCATAAATCATATATTAGTTCAAAACAAAACATGCGTTAATGAGCCAAATGATTTTTCATGAATTTTTTCGTTTTTCAAAAAAAGCCTAAATTTTTTCAATTTACACAAAATTTAGGGCAAATTTGGCTCTACAATAACAAAAGAACCAATGGCGGGATCAATGCGCTACTTTTCGTTTCAAAATAGATGTAATTTTTAGAATTCGCATCAGAACAGAAAATTTAGTGGTTGATCCAGTTTTCTCAATTGGTTTTGCTTTGAATTCAGTTGGTTGTCTCATGAATTTAAAGTAAAAGTAAGGTATGATACGCGAGTTGAACACGTTACCTGGGTCGCCCAACAATACTGAAAAACTTGCTATGACTTGAAATTTTACCGTGTCTTTTTATGTAAACAAAAATAATTCTTATCTTATTTTTTTTTATTGATATGTCGTATGCATCGGAGTTAGTTTATAACAACGCAAATATGATCCTGAAATTCAAAAACTCTATTTATGACAATTATCGCCATGCTTCGATCATTTGCGAGTCAATACTGACAATACAATATCTGCTCTAAAATTTAAGTTTTTAGAAAATTTATTGGACATTCCTACATTTCTAAAATAATTCAGACCTTGAGACAGTGAAATAGCGAGACAGTAAGACCTTGAGACAGTTTATTTATAGCTTTAGTATCACTCTACAGAGCTCTTTTTATCTTTTTGTATCACTCTCCAGAAAAATACAACACTATTGCGATTTTTCAATGGCTTCAACTTCTTGAGCCCCAAATTCCATTCAAGAAGGGTCGCAACTATTTCCAAAATTTAAGACGTTTTCCTCTAAATTAGAGAATTTTTTTAATCTACTTAATCTTCTTAGCTTCTTTCGCACAATTTTGAACAGGAAAAAAATAACCTAAATATTTGAATTAAATTAATCTAACTGCAAAATTTCACTTAAAACAGACGAAATGAATTTACATAATCTTCAGGCATTACAAACCTAGCACAATGCGTTGGTTACTTGTGACGCCGTCATTCGCTGTAAATTGCAGTTCGACACTGGACTAAGTAGACATTGTTGCATTATTTTGATATGAATCGAGGTTGATTTACAAATGGGGTTTCTTAATTTACATGACCAGGCAAGGCGCATTCGGCTCTGTTTCAGTCACACGATGCAGGGTTCCGGTTTCCGCGTAGAACATAATAGATTTCACCAACTGAAAAAATAAGTCAAATATTTATTGAACAATATACAATTCAGTCAATTTCAGGTTCATTGAACTAACAGCATTGATTTCTGGGAACTTCCTGCTAGCCAGTTTGGAGAACACCAAATTGTTGTCCACAAAAACTTCGAAGGTGCCTGAAAAATAGACTTTTAACTATCGATAATTGTTTATCTACCGAAAAAACTCATCGAACAATTATAAACGATAGAGGCAAGGCTCAATTTCGCGTCAGTTGCGCGGCATAATATTGCAAAATTTTTAAATAATCGAAAAAAAAATTACAAATTGGCTGCATATCGCAATTATTTTCATAATTACGAAAAACTTGGAAAAAACCCAAATTTTGTATTTCCTACAAGGTAATCATCCTAAAGAACAGTTTTTGCTTCTCGCTCTGAAACGCCTGAAGGCAGGCTAGACGTTAGTCTTAGAAGAATTCCCTATTTCAAATTTTGTTTGTTTTATGACCTCACTTGGAAACACACAAACAGAGGTAAAGCAAAGCTTCGCACCACTAAGGATACAATACAGACAAAGCATGGCCGCTTATCCGATAGAAAAAGATTGAAGTCCCAAAAAAAATCTATAAATTTTCTGAAAAACATCGGAAAACTTGATCTACCCAAAATGCTCATATCCTTGTCTTGAAAAAAAAATCCTTTCGAAAAAAGAAAAACAAAAACGAAGAAAGTTGATAAACTGAAATCGGAGTTGGTAAATTTACAACCAACAAAAAAAAAACTAATTCAAAATAGAATGGACGTTTAAAACGCAGAGGTAAAAACTCTTCGGAACAGGCCATTACAACCTTCAGAACATAGCCAATTGAAGATTAGAAAAGAGTAATGAACGCAAGTAAACAATAAAAAAAACACTGAAGTTGTTGAAAAAAAAATCTCAACTTTCGAGTTTCAAAGAAAAAATAGATGCCCTTTAAGCTCTTTGAATTTCTATAACAATTTATGATTGGCGCTTTTTTGATAACATTAACCCAACTTGAGAAAACTGGATCAACAGGTTAAGTTTTCATTCTGCGGGAAATCAAAAAATTAAATTCCACTTTCCTAACTAGAAACCGTTCACGATTTTTCGCGCTATTTCCACGTTCGTATTTGGAGAAGACTATTTACGTCACTTTCAGCAACTGAATTTGAATAAAACTCGAAACAGCATATATATCTAAGCCAATTCATAAAGGCATCAATATGTATGAATGCATATCTGTAGTTATTAGAGCATTTAGACTTGTTTCTGAAAAAAAATCACCAAGACCTATATAAGAGTCTTCACTATGTTCACAACTCTTAAACACAAATTTTTCTCCTTCCGTTGCTGTTTTTTTTTCGTGAAAAGGTTTTTTCTATTCCCTTGTTTCCTGCTGACGGTTAAAATCAACGGTGTTCGCCTCTAATGAGCTTCTACTTGATCTGAAATTTCTTTCAGGAAACAATAAAAAACTGAAAAATCATAGATTTTGCTATTTTCAATTGGATCGCTCGCTTTTTTCGAGCAAGTCATTGCAGTGAAGACCAGCCTGAGAAATTTGTTTGCAACGAGGTAGATTTTAGATTTAGATTACAGATTCTAGGTAGAGTACATATGGTAAAAAGATGCAAACCAAAAAATAACCATTTTTGTTTCAAAAAACGTTATTTTCGACCGAACAAAAAATCGAATTCTTCGAAGAAAAGTCCAAGTTCAACCATTTTCACTCGAACCCTTTTCTTGGAATCCTTGAGTGCTTTCATACTTCAAAATAGCTGCTGGCTGTTTAAAATTCAAAAAAAAAATTACCGCCTGCACGGATTCTGACCTACATCTTGCTGACTTCAAAAACTAGCAATCAATAAAGAAGATAAAACAGACCTTACATACAGATACTGAGAATGAGCAAGTTTCCTGAGCACTAATTCATGAAAACTAGGTTGGAAAAAATAAACTAAAATTACAACCAAAGCGTTTGCTCTTGATAGACACGCAGCAATAGCCGAATTTAATTAGAAAAAACCTTACTTAATATTGGGATGCCCCACCACATCCTGGTTAAAAAACAGTGGGAAAACCTAAAATTCAAATAAAACATTACCTTACAGCTCATTAAACTTCACAAGCCTTTTATTGCGGACTTTTTTAAAACTCTTACGTAATTTGAGATAACTGCATCAATGATAATTTATTTATCTACTGGGAAATCAACAGTACTATCATATATGCAATATTTAAAATCAATCACATTTTGTCGCGCATTTTGCACTTTTGTGATGAGAGAGCGGCTAATAAATTTCTGCATAAGAAACTTATTTGAACAAAATCAACAATCAAACCACAAAAAAATTGAGCAACCTTTTCTAAACTAATTTAAAAAAAACAATAGCACATTATTTATTGACTTCACCACGATTAAACAGTATTGCTTTATCTATAGCAAATTACGCTCCATAATAACAAAAAGACAAATGGCGGGAACAACAGTCTACTGTTTCAAAAGTGAATTTCAAATTTTAGAATTCGCATCAGACTAAAAAAAAGTTAGTGGTTAATCCAGTTTTCTCAAATTGATGTCGAAAATGTCAACCATAAAAAATGAACTAAAGGATTTCTATTAAAGTAGAAGAAAACAATTTTCTCATGAAACTCTATAATTTTGTCTATAATTGATTCGCTACTTTTAATTATAGTTGGTAAATCTTTTGGAAATAGGATAAAAAATAGGGGTACAATGATTGACCCTTGTGGCTCACCACTAGTTACTGATGCTGTCGGGGAGCGCTTATCATATATTTTCACATATTGTCCCCTGTTTGTTAAGTAACTTGCAATGAGTTTCACGAAGTTTCCGTCAATTTCAAATTGTTGTATTTTATCGTATCGTTGTAAATTATTGTATTGTTGTAAATACGTGAAACCACATCCAAAAAAAGATTGGCAATATATCAACAAATATCGTTGTAATAAATGAAGCAATTACATCAAGTTATGTTTACAACAAACACAAAATTTTCACAACTGCTTTTACTTTTGGCGTTTACTTATAGAAGATATATACATCAATGTCAGTTTCACTCTATCAACCCAAAATTAAAACAGCTGATTGTACTTTAGGCGTTAACTCTGCGTCAATTGTTTTTTTTTTCACTATAATACAACCACCACAGTTGAAAAAAAGTTTAAAAGACCAAGGAAACCAAAAAAAAATAATTGAATATTTCGAAGAAAAAATATAACAAGCTGAAATTTTTTGAAATATTGTTACTGATTGGCCCTTTTTCGTAAAATTTTCTCATTTAGAGAAAACTGGATCAACAGATCAATTTTTTTCCGCTGAGAATTTAGAAAATTACAGAGCATTTTTGACTAGAAGTCATTCACAATTGGTTTTTATGACAATTTCACTTTGCTGTTAGACAGTTGAGTTTGCCTTCATTTAACAATGGAAATGAGGTGAAACAAATCTTGGGCTTCAATTGTTCTGAAATCAACACCTATTTAAAAGAAAATTACAGAGCCGAAATTACTGATAGATGCCGAAAACGCTTTCAACTCGCTGAACCGAAAGCTGGCATTGAAAAACATCGAAAATAACTGCCCTTCTCTTTTAACAGCGATTAAGAACTCTCTTAACCATCTACTGTCAAGAAGGGACAACCCAGGGGGATCCACTAGCAAAGGCCATGTACGGTCTAGCCAAAATACCTCTCATAAAACTTTTATCAGTAGACGATGTAACCCAGAAATGGTACGCAGACGACAGAAACGCAGTCGGTAAATTAAGCAATCTACGAACCGTCCTCAATAAAATTGTATCACTGGGTAAATTTTTCGGCTATCACGTGAAAGCATCCAAATGCCAACTCATTGTCAAGGATGAAAAACTCGGCGAAGCTCAGAAAATGTTCGCAAATACAGGAATCACTATAAAGGCAGGAGCCCGAGTGCTGGGTTCAGTTATAGGAACAGAATCTGAATATAAAAATTCCTCGAGTTTCAACAGAATGAGCAAATCAAAATTTTGAAAAAACTAACGAAAATCGCTAAAGCCTCCCCCCAAAACGTTCATGCCTGCTTTACTAAAGGAGTTCAAGAAAAGCTTTCATTTCTTGCCAGGACAACGCCTAACACTATGGAAAACTTAGAAATATGTGAAAATATTATCAAAGAACAATTATTACCTAACCTAGTCGGTAAAGACACTTTAAACCCCCAGTTCCGTGAGATATCTTCCTTACCCCTTAAAATGGGCGGACTTAACATCAAGCTGCCATCCGATCATGAAAGCTATCTAGAATGGTCTAAGGAAACATCACTAGTACTGGAATCTCAAGATCCTTTTACAGCAGTAACACAGCAAGAAAAAATATGTACGAAAATCAAAAAATTGAAAACTGATAAAAACAAATCGAAAAAAAAAACAAACCTCATTAGCTCCTTAAATGAAACAGCTAAATACTCAACCTACCTGGCCTCTGAAAAGGGAGCCTATAACTGGCTCAATGCTGTACCACTGAGCAGATACAACTTCAACCTGAATAAATCAGAATTCAGAGATGGTATTTACTTAAGATACGGATGGGAACCGACCAAAACCCCACTCACATGTGCATGTGGCGCTAACTTAAACTTGACACATGCGCTTCACTGTGCAAAGGGTGGTTACACACACATAAGACAAAATGAAATTAGAGACACATTCGCCAACCTCATGAACGAGGTTTGGCATGACGTCGAGATTGAGCCGAAACTTCAGCCGTTGCAAGGCGAAAGCTTTGTCAACAATTCAACTACAACTGAAGATGAGGCACGACTTGAGATTAAGGCAAACGGACTCTGGGGCTCACGATTCAGCCGCGCTTTCTTTGATGTGAAAATTTTCAACCCCATGCCAAAACATTGCGAAAACTGCATAAAGACGCATACAAATACAACGAAACGCTGAAGAACTCCAAATATCAGCAAAGAATTTTAAACGTAGAGCAGAGTAGCTTCTGCCCGCTAATTTTCGGATGCACCGGTGGCGCTGCTCCAACAGCCACGCGGACGATGCAGCGATTAGCCGAAAAACTAAGTGAAAAAGACAAGAAAGCTATCCAGAATCTATAAACTACATAAGAACTAAAATAAGCTTCGCGCTCCTGTGGAGCTCTACACTATGTATAATGAGTGCAGATCGCTACGCAAATTTCAATTTATCGACAGCTCCATAAGCGCTATTGTAGAGGAAGGACGGCTAAGATAAATTAACATTACGACGATGCATTTAATGCTGATTTATGACTTCATTGATATATATGCATTTTTATAACGCTGGTATGGCCCTATCCAGCTTGTGCACTTACCGTAACTAAACTGAAGGGCCCCTTTTGCAATTTAGTTTTATATATATATGAAAGAAAAACACTTAATTCTTTTACACTTAACAAAATTGGAAATAAATTAGTGCTGCTTTTTACTTTTAACACAGAAGCAAAGAAAAGCCTGTTACTTTGCGACTTGAGTTAGAAAAAAATTGCTTGGTACACTTAACTAAGCCATGCTTGTGTAAGCAGAATAAATAAACTATAAATTTAACAAATTATTTGCGATTATGAGACACTTCGCTATCGCAAGTGCAATCAAAAAATAACCCGATCGTCCACTATGTCCGACGAATTTGTAGACACCTTTAGCGCCCAATTTTCTTAGCAGGGAGTGTTTGAAGTCCCTGAATCGGGCACCATATCCTCACCCAGTGCTAAAATACAGATGAAAACCTTGAAACAGGTAGAGCCATTTTTTTTTGAAAAATCACATATGCTAGGATAGTGTCTACTGAATTTAACTTACCAGTGTTCAACTTGAATTACTATTGGATATTTTCGGGGTTCGGCAGTCTTGGATACCGGTAGAGGCCCTTCGGTTGACATTCTAAGAAATCCAACTGAAAAAAGATACATAAATATCCATTTCGAATTTTGAAAATCCGCCTCATAATCATTCAAAATTTGACAACTGTGGCGCAAGTAAAAAAAACTGCATTCATAAACGAGAAAAAACAGAAACAATATTTTTGATACTTCTTTCTTCGTCATAGATTTTACGAGATTTCCGACAGACCAATCAACTGCATAATCAAAAAAAAACTTTTTAAAATAAATATATAAGCGTAACAAAAACCGATAAAAGCTTAGAAATAGGAAAAAAAACATGAAAACTGAAAATGGACAGTGACTTTGATTTCCAGATTAGGTGGATCAGACCTTTATTTTAATTTATAGTATACTTATACTGTTTTGCTATAAGACGGATTGATTCGATCAAAACAGTAAGATTATAGCATTTGCCCGAATTCGGGGCGTTGAAAGGGTTTTCAGATTGCCTTGCAACCTTGGAGAACGACTGTGAGACTTCACTGGACGAGGTGACCAGATGGATACCTAGACCTGGGAATCAAGACCTGGGAATCAAGACCTGGGAATCAAGAGAGGACGATACTGGGAAGAGACGACCAGTAGTGTGACTAGTGCAAAGTGACAACTAGAGGGGATCATCGGGGTGTGCCGTTCGGGTGGCGTCTCACGGAGCCGAATACCCAGATAGCCGAAAAATAAATTTGTTCCCGGATAGCCGAAAATTAAAATTCGCTCCCGGATAGCCGAAATTTTGGGTCTACTTAGCAATTACCTCCTCCTTTTTGCCCCCTTACCCATTTCTTAATAGCGGAGGGGAGAGAGATTCAATACTAGGTACCATTGAGGGGGGATAGTTAAAGAGATCCTACAAACTTACTTCAAAACATAGTTTTCTTATTTGGGGTACCCCCTTTCTCAACTCACCCCCCCCCCCCCCACACACACACACACATATATACACTTACACAGTCCGATCATTCCTCCTTTCCACTCCCTTCTCCTCCTCCCAATTACCTCCTCCCCCTACCCGCAATTACCCCACCATGTCCACCCGACAAACAAAAAAACTATCTATTAAGGGCCCCCAACAGAAATTATAATCGATTATAATGTTAATGCAGGGGCGGATCTAGGATTTTATCGAGAGGAGAGGAGGGGGTGACAAAAATTTAAAAAAACAGGCCAGAGCGCCATTTTTGGGTTTTTTTGAATTTTGATAAAAAATTGCTTTTCAGCGCGTGTTCCCCTTTAATTTTGGTATATATTGAAAAATTTTAGGGTTTGTCGGCCAAAAAAGGGTATCATAAAACATAACAAAAAGGGAGTTTTTGGTTGTTGAGGGGGTCAAATCCCTGTAGTAGTCGGACTTTTGCTGCTAATCTATTCAAGGAGAGTAAAATTATTAGCCAATCAAATCTCTTAAAACTTTCGGAGTTTTGTTAGCTATAACAAGGCTGCAATGTTTTGAGGCACTTTTTGTCCAATCAATTCCGGGAATCCGGCTCCGAGGGTACGCACCGCCGTTCCTTGAAACGGTATCGTCAAAATCCATTTTATACTATGAGAGGTAGGTATAAAAGTGAATAAGCGGCATCTCACAGATTTGAGGAACCGTTTTTACGTGAGCAGAGCTGGGAAATAGGATCTACGGATTTTCTCCTGAGTGGTTTAGGCGGGCGGGGGGGGGGGCTAGAAAGGGGGTGAGATTAGACGAGGTAGTTGGTTAAGATAAAGGGTGGTGGTTGGAAATTGTAATAAGGGGGTCTTAATACTGTAACTATGTACGTCGATTTATTTACACTTAGTTAACTACCTTGGAGAACGACTGTGAGATTTCACTGGAAGAGGTGACCAGATGGATACCTAGACCTGTGAATCAAGACCTGGGAATCAAGAGAGGACGATACTTGGATGAGACGACCAGTAGTGTGACTAGTACAAAGTGACAACTAGAGGGGATTATCGGGGTGTGCCATTCGGGTGGCGTCTCACGGTGCCGAACTCCTGGATAGCCGAAAAATAAATTTGTTCCCGGATAGCCGAAAAATAAAATTCGCTCCCGGGTAGCCGAAAATTTGGGTCTACTTAGTAATTACCTCCTCCTTTTGCCCCCTCATCCATTTCTTAATAGCGGAGGGGAGAGAGGTTCAATACTAGGTACCAAAGAGGGGGTATAGTTAAAGAGATCCTACAAACTTACTTCAAAACATAGTTTTCTTATTTGGGGTACCCCTTTTCTCAACTCACCCCCTCCCCCCACACACACAAACACACATATTTACTTACACAGTCCGATCATTCCTCCTTTCCACTCCCTTCTCCTCCTCCCAATTACCTCCTCCCCCTACCCGCATTTACCCCACCATGCCCACCCGACAAACAAAAAAATTATCTATTAAGGGTCCCCATCAGAAATTATAATCGATTATAATGTTAATGCAGGGTTGGATCTAGGATTTTATCGAGAAGAGGGGAGGGGGGTGACAAAAATTTAAAAAAAACAGGCCAGAGCGCCATTTTTGGGTTTTTTTGAAAAATTTTGATAAAAAAATTGCGTTTTCAGCGCGTGTTCCCCTTTCATATTGGTATATATTGAAAAATTTTAGGCTTTGTCGGCCAAAAAAGGATATCATAAAACATAACAAAAAGGGACTTTTTGGTTGTTGAGGGGGTCAATGTAACATTCGTCTACTGCAGTCACACATGAGGCTTAAGAAAAATAGGCCCTATAACCATTGGCTCAAGAGTCAGGGACACTATCTCTTGTGTTTTTCTACCTCAAATCAGTCGGAGCCAATTCGGTTCGTTTGTGACATGAGACTACGACCCGTTACAGCTTAAAGGCTACTACTAAAATATCCCCCCACTCTAGAATTAGGAACGTCCCCATACTTAGGTCTCTAGATACCCAAAATACATGAACGCCGTTAAAAACCGGGTCGGAACAATCCGCTTAGTTACTTTTTATTGGACAGTGGAACTTTGATCCATTTCAGATGGATCAACCTAAAACTCGCCTTATCTCAACATAACTATCATAAAATACACTCGAGAAATTTAAATTGAGAACTCACATGTCGATGCGCTTGAGTATAAGGAGTAATTAAAAGATGAGCAGCTCGAGAGTCAAATAATATAACTAAATAAGTTTGATGCTAATTAGTTTTAACAACAGAAGTAAGTTCTGTCTCAAGAATCAAAGTTTCTGTATGAACCATCGGGACACTCGAGTTGCCCTCTCTTCCATTGAATGTTCGCTCTGTTCCGTTCGAATAATCGTCCTTTCTCAAGTCTGTGTTCTATTCTCCTGTTTTCGGGATAAGACAGCTCTACTCTCTTATTATTTCGTATCGAGAAATTGCGAATAGCAATTTCCTGCCTTTTTCTTGAGTAGTTTCCCGCAATTGTTAATTCGGTCGTTCTGATTTTTCACTTTTTGTTTTCAGTTGGTTCGAGAAAACTGAGCATGACAGGCTCCATTCGAAATTTTCAAAATCAAAACTTCACTCCAAAATTACGTGTTTCTCAAGGTCAAACCTCCAGACATGACCGACTGGCACATACTCCCCGGACTCGAGATCGATGTCCTCATCGCGTGTTGTCATCTGCCAGTGAGTCCCAGAGAACCGAGTGTTGCTCAAGATACAGTGCCAGTAGTCATTTACAGAAGTTTGCATCGGACTTAAGTTTATCTACCTTCCAAAATTCACAACCATATAAAATTTTCACGTTATCGCTAAACAGCAATCAAAATCTGCACACACCTGCACCCATGAATCCCCGCTTTTTAAGCTGGTAATTTTAAAATATCTTTTGTCCTATTCAGTCAGGAAATTATCATGCATCATTTTGATTTATATAATAGATCTATCATATTAATAACAATATCTTATTCGTTTAAAATTTCTTTTTCGTGAACCCGGATTTCATCCGAGTTCACCCTCGAGCCCCCTCCCTCTCAAGACTCAAGACTCTAGAATTTTCCCTTCGAGCCACCGGCTCACCTCGTGTCCTTCGCCCTCGAGGTACCCGACACCGGTGTTGTTGACACTGTAATTTGTTCCAACAGTGCCTCTTCGTCATCGGAGCTGACCACAATTTCCTCCCAGGCCTTCAGCTGTTCATAGGATCGCATCCACTCCCTCTGCTCTTGCAACCTCTTTGACTGATTTGGTAACCTCTTTACCTTCGACTCCCGGTTCAAACAGAAGGAATTGTGAAGACTCATGCTTATATTCTTCGCCAGGTCCTCCTCTAGTATCGATTCTCTCGCTCTAGAATTGTCTCTGGATACTCTGCACACTCTTTTCCACCCCGTCGTGATCGCATTTCGATGGGTTAGCAGAGGTCTCTTGAAGGCATCTGGTCCTATCTCGGCTTGGAATTGTCGATATTCCTTTTGATGTTTCCTCATGTGGTCCTTTGTCACCAGATATAACCAGGATGTTAACGTCGCACGAAACCAAGGAAAGAATCTCAGGCGGCTCCATATATGTCTGATCTCCACTGGTATGGCAAATACCTTGCATGCGGTCTCGAACAACTCAAGTCTCCTGCTGTAATCTATCGCATGAATCGACTCAGCTGTTGGCGTTCTCGATTCTCTATACTTCGCTATGTTTTCTTCCATCCATCGCAGGGATGTCGAATACTCGGATTTTTTGATATTCGTTATTCGCCGCGGCCCAACTATTCGATATTCGACTTCGGCCGAATAGTGCCCTTACTATTCGGATTCGGCTTCGGCCAAATGTTACTACTCGAACAACTATTCGGATATTTGGTTATTTTCCCAAAAAACTTAGCATAAAAGTTTGATACAACAAATTCTACAAAAAGTATTGAACATAGCATTTTTCAAGTAGAATTGGCTGGGACTTGCGTAATAATGTAAAAATCGCGGGAGTGAGTAAATGTTAAAAATCAGTCACAACTCACAACCCAGTTTTTCGAGCTAAATCAGCCATCTTAAAAAAAAACAGAAAAATATTGTGAAACAAAACAGTAAACCAATATTCGGAATATTCGGGTTTTTTAGCAGTGGACCCTGG